GCGCCTGGTGAGGGAGGGGGGGTGGAGTTTAAAGCGTTGGAGATAAAAAGAAGAGAAGAATTTTCTAGATGGTTTGGGTCGAACCTGGTTCGATTACGGTCGGTTTCGGCCCCAAAATCTTTCGATTTCGATTCGATTTTTCATAGTGTTTTCGCACTCTAAAATTATTAATATGAATTTCCAGGCTGTCGGTTTTTTCATTAAATTTTAAATTGAAAATGTTTTTGAAAATAAAAATTCGGGTTGTTTTCACATACCATAATTTAATATCATCAAATAGTAAATTACCATATATAATTACATGCCATATAATATGTACCATATTACCATGTAATAAAAGTACTACCATATTAGATTTTATCATACCATATCCATCAAATATATTACCATATTATATTATATTACTATAATAATATGTATATGTTACCGTATTTAATATAATATAATAAACAATATATACTTGTCACGAGACCCGTTTCAATGGGCCCCCTGGACTGGCTCAGGTAGCTTAAAGGCCCCCGAGGCCCGTAAATAAGCCTCACCACAAAAATTCAACCATATCAATATGAATCTCATAATTATATCTAATACTTTGGCCCAATCTAACATCTTAAATATATGAAATAGTTCGAAGCCCAATTATGATACAAAACATCCTTAATGTGGGCTAATAAATTCATGCAAAGTAGTCCACTGTGAAGAATCTTAACTAGCCCTAGTAGATACAAAAAGATTGGTCTCCTACACCAACTAGATATTAACAATGCCTTACCTGCAAACTGATTTATTTGAGGAAGACATCTACCAATGTTAAACCATCCAAAAGGTTATTCTGAGGTGCTAAGGGGCAGGTATGCAAACTTAAGAAGTCACCTTTATGGATTAAAACAAGCTAGAACGATCGTGGAATAAAGACTCACTTCCAACTCTGCTGACTTACGGGTTTTTACTCGGTCACCAAATGACCCCAAATGACCATATTCTTTTCAAAAGGGATCAGGAAACACATTTTTAGCCCTACTAGTGTACGTTGATGATATACTCATCACAGGACTCGATGAAACACTCATACAAGATATTAAGTCTTATTTACACAGTATTTTCATAATAAATGATCTTGGTCAAGTAAAATACTTTCTGGGACTCAAGATTGCTAGATCACAAACAGACATATTTTTATCCTAAAAAAGTTCATCAAAGATTTACTTAAAGATGCAGGACTCGACAAGTCAAACCTAGTACAAACACCTTTGGTATAAGGACAAAAACTTATATCTGAAATGGGATGTCTCATGGAAGAGCTTGAGTATTATCGTCATTTGGTAGGCCTATTATTGTACCTCAGCATGACTGGACTACACATCTCTTTCGGGGTTCAACAACTTAGCCAGTTTATACAGAACCCCTATGAAGGGCATCTTCAAGCAGCATTACACTTGCTTCGATATCTTCGTGGAACTGCCAATTTGGGATTGTTCTTTCCACATTCGAGTCCTCACACCATTACAGCTTACTAGGATGCTGATTAGGCAACATGCACGGTCACGCCCCCTGTCTCCCAATGCGTATTGTATTATCCTGGCTCATTTTTTGATATTCTGGAAAACAAAGAAGCAAACAGTCGTAAGTAGATCAACCGCTGAAGTGGAATATCGTAATATGGAAAACACCACATGCAAGCTTCAATGGATTACTTATCTCCTTTGTGATCTTCAAATCTCAGCACCCAAACCCATCCGCTCTTCTGTGATAACCAAGCGGCAAACCACATTGCCGTGAATCTAGTCTTCCAAGAACGGATCATATCATATTAACATCGACTGCCACGTCGTCCGCAACTAGATTCAGCAAGGGTTCCTTCATTGGGACTTCAGCAAGGGGTCCTTAAAACCTCTCAGTATAACCATCAAACACTAACTTAGCCTGACACTCTCACAAAAGCCTAATCACAAAACGCTTTAGACATAACTCTTTTGGTCCGAGAGATGGATAATTTGGGTTTCTCAATATTCCGTACTAAACTGACACAAATCGTAATATAGCGGGGGGTGAAATTATGTAAGCCTTTTCCAAAAAAAAAAGGAACTGCCCAAAAAAGAAATGCCAAATACATAGTTTTGCCCTTGAACTTTTTTCTTTAACTGTATGGCATCGTAAGCATTTTGAATTACCAATTATACGCCTTAACTTTTATTTAATCACCCTAAATTACACGAAGATAAAGGATGCTTGGAAAAGATCATTAAATTAATATTTATCTCACTTCATTACTCCTATCTCACATTACTATAATATATCTACAATAAGATAAAATTAGAAAAAGATCATTTATTATTGTTTAGAATACTTAAAAAATGATTTATATTTTGGAACAAAACAATCACACTAAAACAATTTATAAACCTAATATATCTACAATAAGATAAAATTAGAAAAAGATCATTTATTATTGTTTAGAATACTTAAAAAATGATTTATATTTTGGAACAAAACAATCACACTAAAACAATTTATATTTTTCAATGGAGACAGTATATATCTATATATCCACATCGTAACTAGGGATGGAAATGGGATAGTACCCGCGAATTTGGAGCTATCCATACCCGTATTCGTTTAGAATTTTACTACCCTTATATGTCTCAAATCGGTTTAAATATTTGTATCTATTACAGACCCGTTTAAAGTATCCTTTAAACCTATAAGGTATCTGCAAATTTTAAACTATCCAAACATGAACTTATTTAAAATACATCTTTTACTAATAAATAGATGGGTAACTGTGGGTACCCATGACCAAACTCGTCTAGTATTTTAGGCAACGTGTGACGAGTACCTAGAAACCTATACTTGTATCCTAACCGTATCCGTTGAGTTTTATTTCACTATCTGTATTTGCCTTAACCTATTTCTAACTATCATACTCTCATGAACGAATTACAGCAGCTCGAATATCCTAAAATACTTGTCTCGCTTCCATTCCTAATCATAACCCGAATTAAATTGTAAAAGGTAGAGATGGCATGTTTGTAGAGTAAAGGGAATTATAGATCTCTTTTTTAGTGTTTATGTCATTGGACGTGCTTACTTGTACATATAATTAGTTTTCTTGAACGTACGTTGCACATTGTTTGTGTTCGTTGATTTTTACACATTGCAAGTAAATATAATTCAATTTTATATATAATTTTTTATTATAAATTAAAATATATGAATTGTTTATATAACTAAAAATCTAGTGTAAGCATCTATAATAATATTAAAAAGAATATTTTTATGAATAATAAAAAATAAAATTAACATAAATAATTTATTTTAAGGAAATAAGATACTTGATAATAATAAAATATTATTTATAAGTATATTTATTAAACGACCCGAAAATTTAATTTCGTAGAATTTTTATTTAAAAACTAAATTTTTATTCTAACCAATGAATATTAGTTACCTGCTATGTATTTTTTATTGCTAAATTGGACCGCATAAACCAATTCGATTTTTTCGAAACCAAGCGAACAAACTCAAAAAGCCAAGCAAATTGAGCTCAAATCATTTATTGATTAGACCAAACCTGATTTCTGAATTCGAACCGGAATAGGTCTAGCAAGCCCAAGATTTCTTTCTTTCTTTTCTTTTGCTTTTTCTTTTTTCTTTTTCTTTTTTTACTTTTTTTCTTCCCCCTTCTCCTTCCTTGCGCCAGCAACCAGCGCGACCTCACTCTTCTCTCCCTTCCCTTTCATTTTTCGCATCCACCGCGACCAGCCCTTTTGCCGCCATCCTCCCTGCTGCCGTCGGCCTCCTCACCGCGCATCTCCGAATCGTTCTCCTTTCTCTCTCTCCCCATTCACTTCTTAGCGAGAGCCAGGGTTAGTCGCAGCAGTAGTCGCAGGAAGAGTCGGGACTCCTCATCGACTTTCCGGTGACACCAGCCCATAGCCGACCAACCACATCGTCTCCAGCTACCACCGCTCGATGTCGCTCTCTCCTGCTCACGACTCTAGTAAGCACAGCAGCTCAGGTGAGCAACGATTCTATTTCAATCAACTTCAGCCACTTCAGTGGCTCTGAGCTTTCTCTCTCTTCGTTCCGGCAAGCACCACCACTGCCTCCGGTCAAGCAAAATTCTGGTAGTGTGGTACTTGGGTATTGGAATTAATTTTGGTTACTTCCTAGAAATTAATTAATTTCTACTCCTAGTCACAACTTTGATATACTCTTCTTTGAATATAATTGTAGGCTAAGTCTAATTTAATTTTAATTATTCGGTATTACCCAATATATTAAAGTGTTGATTCAATTAGAAGACGTTTAATTTAATTAAAGACCAATTTGTAATATTAGCCACCAAAACAAATTATTAAGTTGGAAAGAATTTTTATAATTGTATTTTAATTGGAATTAAAGTGTGGATTTAATGTAGATTAGATTGAATGTATTATTTGTTACGTCTTGATTAGAAAATTATATGAATATTGAATATGAAGATACTCTCTAATGGTCGGCCAGCGGTGTTTTCATTGGGTCGCCGAATATACATGCAACAACCCAAGAGGGTTGTTTAGAATCTCACGAAATGAGAAAATGCTAGGTTCCTGAAACACTATTCACACGGACTGAATAGTTGGAAAATCTGATTTTTGACTATTAATTTGACACTTATAACTGCATTTTTTTAAGGAAATGTGTTAAGTTTAGGTTTGTTTATTGTAGATCCTGGAAAGATAAATTTAGGAATGATTGTGATATTTGGTGCAGCCAACCTTAGCTACTTTGCTCTTATAAATTTCTGCTTTTGAATATTGAGGTATTTTTGAATCTGATAAGTAAGTTTCTGGTGGTTAAATGAGTCAAGAAACTACGTGTTTTAATAATTAAAGCACTCTTTTGAAATTAGAGAGACCTTGAATATTATTCTTTAAGGCTGGCAGCAGCCATTTTTAGTTAATCATTGTTAAAACTAAGAGTTCGTGCTGTGGGATATGAAGCGTAATAGAAACGCTTTGTAAATTGAAGGTTCTTGATTGGAAATGGGCTTAATCAAATGCGTATAATGTGTAAGTTTAACCAAACACTTAAGGTTTCTTTGTAATATTTGGCAGCAAGCCACTTAAGGTTTCTTTGATAAAATGGCAGCAGCTATCTTCAATTATTTCCATTGATTTTTGTTTGACATGGTACAATTAAGGTTGTAAATCTAATTCTTGCATGGAACTAGTTAGTTGGTGTGATCCATGATTTTAAGATAGAAAAACGCTAATTCTTTTGGCGAATTGACAGCAATTACCTTGATTTTTCTATGTTGTTTTACAAGGATAAATATATGTAAATGAACGTACTTTTAAGATTCCATGATGATTGATGTATAAATATTTATTTATGATTTGAGAGACGAATAAAATGGGTTCGTTACCTGAAATTTTGCTTGGCGAGAATGATGATTCACATATTTGATTCACATATTATTAAGTTGTATTCGGGATCTTAGTTATATAATGATAAAGAAAAGAAAAGAAAGAGTGAATTATAGTTGGCATATGGTTACTACAAGCATAAATATACGGATACTTTAAACCAGTAGAATGTGGTGGTTAAGTAAATGTTTATTTTCATTTATTTGTTATTTTATGTACGAGCTTAACCTTAGATAGCGAAGCTTGGATTGTTAATAGCTAAAGTTTTGTATTGTGATTAAATATTTATACTATTACTTGATATGGAAGAAGGGAAATTAAATTGTTTGATTGCCCGTATTGCGCCGATGGATTTGGGTTGTTGTGTGTAATGGTTTGATGGAATGATATAATATTGCCTGATATATCGAGCAGGGTAGATAGAGTCCAAAATTTTTAGGGGATCGTGCTGCCGAAATTCGATAGAAATTAAGGTTAATTTTAATTAACAACATAATTAATAATTTTCAGTTTAGATAGTTCTTATAACTTGGTACAATTAATAAATATAGTGCTCTGATTATTTATTATCTTCTACTTTTACTTCATTTAATGATCTACATATTTATTTATTTATTCTATTTAATTTTATTTATTTATTTTTCCATATTATTGTGATTATTGTTATTTTATTTTATCATTGTTTTCTTTATTGTTCAATACTATTTAATTATTTAGTATTTGCATGTGCATTATGATAGTTTAATTGATCTCTTTCACCCATAATGCTTGCATTTAATTTGCAATAATACTTGATTATAATTGTGTTTGTCGATATTGCTGTGCTTTGTTTGTGTGGAATTAGAATGAAGTGGGTCACCATGGGTTTTGAGACCGTTTCTGTTATACGGGATCCTGATTTCTGATTTATGTTATATTTGCTTCTTTTATATATGGATCCTGATTCTGTTTCGATTAGGCCGGGTAAATGGGAGCATTCGGGCCCCCCCGTGTTGCACTACTGTTACGTTACTGTATAAACCACAGGTGGCTTCTTTATTGGGCGCACCTGATAATTCTAGATTTGATCGCAGCCCGCAGGGTGGCCCTCCTGGTTGTGAGCGCCTGATTGATCTTAGATTTGATGGAGGACACTACCGGGTTGCCTCCTGTTGGGTATGAAAAAAGAAAAGAGAGGATAGAAAAACAATTAAGAGGGGTGGGTCAAGTGAGGATTAGACCACGGAGGGAAAGTGGACTCGGCCACAGTATTGGGGGATTCGGTCCCTGGTGTCACATGTGAGAGGATTGAGCCAATGTTGGGAGGACGGCTCCTCATCGGGGTTCGGTGACTCCACTGTGACTTTAATTTCCACGTGATGTGATTTCATATTGAGATGTAATGATTGTGTCAGTGCTGGTTGAGTTTGCTCAGTGTTGTGTGACTAGGCTGGCGTGCGCATATAGCTAGTCGGCTTCATTCGACTTAGTATTTCGATTATTAATTTGTTCTACATTTGTGTGACTGCATGATGTTGTGTGATAAATATTTTCTGCTTAGGAAATACTCAGAAACAAGTCTTGCTTTTATTTTTTTTTCAGTGAAGTAATTTTTTCTTTAATTCCGATTTAGGGCTATATTATTCTAGAGGCACCGGGGCAATAGAGAAATTTTCTTTAGTTTCATATTATTTTAAGTCATGTAGTCATGTGTATTAAAAAAGCTTATGTATACCAAAGAGTTAGTGGATCCGCAGTTGTAGGGATTTATCTTTATATTTAGTCGTGTTACTAACGTAGACAAAATGAATCTGTAAGGCCATAATTAGATTGTGATGTATTTGTTAAATAGGTGCCCGAAACATATAAGCTAAGTGCTGTGGTAGAGATAAACTTGGGCCGAAGAAATAATAGAAATTGACAGATGTTAAATATACCGAATGAATTATAAAGTGTGTCGTCAGGATGTTTCGTTTCAGGCTTACTACGGCTCGGGTCGGCCTTCACGGCTTCACCTTGCCTTTAGTGGGCCCTAGTGCCGGTCCGGCCCATGGAGTCGGGTCGTGACAATTTATTATGAAAATAAAATTACTTGTCAATCAATTTAAATTTTCTTATAACAGTTTCAATTTTAGTAACTTAGTTTTTTTTGTATATAATATAATACCATAAACTATATATATTACTAAAATATGAGAAACCAGTATTAGCTATTATGGTAAGTAATATATTAATCAAATTGAAGACTTAATAAAAATAATAATTAAAAAATATTATATTTTTACCATATTTAATATGTACATTATATAGTATAATATAACCAATAAAATTAAAATGCTTAAAAATATTATATTCTTATCATATTTAGTATCCATTAAATACTATTACCATATTATATTATATTACCATATAATATTTACATATTATCGTGTAATAGTACTACCATATTATATTATATTACCATATTATATTATCTATTACCATATCCGCTCAAATAATATTACCTATTATATTATTATAATTCTATATTAATATGTATTATATTACCATATTTAATATATACATTAGTATTACTTTCATTTAATATTTATTTATATTGATTTCGGGTTTTTAAATTCTGGGATCGTTTTCAATTATAAGAAAAGGTGAATACCCAAATAGTATTATTATTATTTTATTATATAATAGCTTATTTATAATACATAATATAAGTTTCTTATTTTATCTATTAGGAATTAATAGCTTATATAATACATAATATAAGTTCTTATTTTATCTATTAGAATTTAGATTTACATAAAAAAATAATATGACTCATAAAAATTCAATTACCATTATTATTTCGATCAATCGAATTAATATATTTAATTATATTTTTTTAATCCATAAACTTAGTAAGGGCATTTTTGGCAATTGAAATGTTCCCCATCCATTCCCACTTTTATACATATTATAAATAAATAAATTATAAGTAAAAAATTACAATAAACAAAACATAAGTCAAAAGGTTAAAATAAATACTCTATACATTTTTTATTAAATAATTTTGATTTGATAGATTCGGAACTTGAAAACTAATTCTTCCATTATTAAAATTAAGTATTACTAATTCGTTTATTAATAAGATGTTATAAAAGTATGATAAAATTTTGTTTTAAATTCTACGAGTATAAAAGTGTAGTAAATACCCAACATATACTACAATTTTACTTAAGATTTAAAAATAAAAGTAGATATATTGATTCCTCTTTCTAGAAGTTGTACTTGCCACCGTATATTGTCACAAACATCTAAAACTCTAGCATTATTATTACTATTGTATTAGAAGTCTTGAGTTTTAACCATTATTCTAAAAATCAGACCAAACCGTCGGTTCGACCAGTTTAACTGGGAAGTGGATTATGGTCCGATTCGAGTTGAAACGAAGATGTGAAATGAATGTATGATATTTAAGCAAACATACTAGGGATAATATGCTTATGCTTCATCAACACAAATCAAGAAACACAAAGAACAACAGCAATTTAATATCAATGGCAATCATCACTCAACGCCCTTACATGGGGATCATGGTTTTATGCTTTGTTTTCTTACTCATTTCATTGCGTTTCTCCTCTCGACTCTTTCTCGCCTCTTCTTTACTCAGTTTCAGAAATAAATATCATATCTTCCCTTCTATCATCTAGAATGCAACTTTTTTTTTTTTAAAAATGAACTTGAAAGATAAAAGATTAATTGCTATTAAGTGAAATTCACTTTTACTCTTATCAGCGAGCTAAGCAATGCTGTTGCTCATTTTTGAAATTGTTAATGAATCGGCACAATTGTTGATAAACTTTTTGGAAACCAATTGAAATTCGCGACACAATAGAAATCAAATCCTAATTGAAATGAAGACATTTGATGTTGTTCCAATACCAATTTATATAAAAAAAAATTAATTTTTGAATGATCGAGAAAATTTTTATGGAAACTAGGTTAGAACCGAAATCAAAAATGGAAGAACTTTAATTCCAAGTTTCTATTTCTACCTAATTAGAGAAATAAAAATGTCAGTTCTGTGATTTTGATTTTCTAGTTATGGATTACAGATAAAAATTCAATTGGTAGGTTCATTTTACATAATTGCTATGTCTCTTTTGCATCGTTGTACATCCAAATTAATGAAGTGTCTGATTGAAAATGATGAAAAGATATAAATTATATTTTGAATTTACGATTTTAAAAAAATTTGAATTGTAAAACAATGAGATATTTCAATTATTTAGCAATTTTAATTAGAGTGGATAATAAAAAATTTATTGTCTTAATTATCTTGAGACTCGGATTTAGCGATTTTTTCATATTATTTTCTTATTAATGGACTTGCCAGGACCACGACAGTCTGATGCTAATAGCCATAAATGTTTACGAGATGTTGTTCCAGGGTCATTTAAGTGAGCTCCAAATTGTGCCGCAGGCTTGCCGAGCGAAGGATTTCTCTTAAGGGAGGTGCCATGTTATTAATATTAATCCTTTTTTTTTTTAAGTTTGTTGTGTTTTGACTGATGAGAAGGTATGGTGAGAGGGCTTAAATTCCTATAATCAAGAGAAAATAATGTGATGCCGGTCAAACTATTTGTCAATAAATACTGGTGACTGTTTTAAGGTATGGTTGAGAGGGCTTAAACTTCCATAATCAAGAAAATAATTATGCGTCAACTAGTTATAATCTGGTTGATGTCTTAAGTTTGGCTCTTTTCAACTGTAATTTGGTAAACCAAGGTTCTTTTACCCATATTAATTAAATAATCATGTCATATTGGCTCGTTGAGCTTATAATAAATAATAATAATAATAATTATTGATATGTGCCTAATTTACTTTAATTTTATAAGTTGACTTTGCTTTAATGTATTAGTTTGATCTATATTTATATATGAAAAGTTTTCATTTTTGGTGTTATTTTTATATAGAAAATTTTGCTTAATTTGGTAACTTTGAGAACTATACCAACATGAAAAAAGTTATCTTACCCTTTTTTTAG